ATGACCCAACCCGATTTGCATTCAGTTGTGACGCGGGTCATGACTCGAGGTTCACGATTCTCGGCAAGTGCGGTGCTTTTCAAAAACTATTATACGCAGGATTGATGACATTGACAAGAGGTGCCACCATGGAGTAAAATTTATTTTAAGCCTCAACGCAAGCGATGAACTGAGACCCTCGGGTCATAACTGAATGCGCCCACGATAGCTGTCATGAGTGACGAACGACCAAAGGATGGGCTGGACTTTTGACACGCCCCGTATGAAAGAACGAAGATGCTAATCCAAAGCGAATACTCCCGAGTTCCTGACGTGGATGCTTTATTACGGTTGAATGGAATTAATTAAAATCCCTATGCTCACCGTAACACATGTAGCGGGGGAAGTGCAAGAAAGGTCAGATCCGATCATGGGATTCGCCGACGAGCCAGTCCCACGGAAGGGGTTCCAAGCAGTACACAGGCAAAGGTTCCCACTGACCCTTCATGATCCCAAAGCAAAGGAGTGGCGAATACCACTTAAAAAGCAGAGGAAAAGACTCGAATTCCGCAAAATATACCACTGCGCATCGTCGATGCAACAAAGTAACACGACCTTCGACCGAATGGCGTAAAAAGAACACGCAATAAAGACGCTAGCCACAATGAAAAGCTGGTTGGGGGAATGAGCTACCCAATGACCTTGGAGCCAGACAAGGGGAAAAGGAAAGTTCCACATCATCGGGGTGCGAGTGGGTTTCCTTACGTTCGCGTTAACTACGACACAGATTTCGACAATTGAGACACTGAAGGTCGATTATCTAGAAGAGTGTTTGGCCTTTCGTGGGGATACATACACTGTTTCCATATTAAATTCGTACCCCTTAAAAGGATCCCCAACCCCTTTCACATGGGTGATTATGTCTATTACCTAATTAAAGAGGAACCTCTGGAAGTTTGTTTTCTCCGTTCTCCACTATAGGGGGAGGGAGTGGGGTGGTGGTACGTTTTCAATCTGAAAATAGCACAAACTTACAATATTGAGCGTGCTTAAAAGTAGTATTATAATCCAAGTAATTTTCCAACCTGAGGGTCATGCGAGGAGAGGGATGGTCAAGTAGCGCTAACACCGGTCGCATAATTTTACGAGAATCGTACAAGGTCTCCTGAATTTCACTCGCAGCTGTCGTGCAGAACTACTCTCAGGGATTAATCATAACTGCCACTTCGTTTAAAAAGGAAGCAGCCGATCACACTATCGTGTTTAAATAAATAAAAATCTGGCTAATACCTAAAGATGTAGGGTGGATTGCACAAAACTGACTTTAGCTTAATGAAGCTCCATTAGCACCGCTAAAGGAGGTTTAAAGCTTTATTACGATAAAGTCAGTTTTATGCAATCCACCCGTAGACCTGAATGCTGAGACCTCCTGTAGTTAACGGTCCTTTAGAATACATGCACTCCTATGGGAGAAAAAAGAGCTCTTTAACTGAAAATCCCCTTTACTTCCCCTAAACGAGGTTCATGCATTCGGGCCATAACATGATTACGTCGTTTCGTGGGAATGGTGCGAACTTCTGGTGCTACAAAACGAATCCCAGACTAAGCCTACACGGATATAATAATAATTTAATTTAAAAAATAGCCCTCCTGGGAAAAAAACACAATCCAAAGGTATAGTCTATCTGATCCAACTTTACCACGCCGGCATTGCCCGTTTTATGGTAGCTCATTAATTTTGTGCAGTCATCAGCCTGTCAAAATGTCGGAAAGGGGCTCGAGGCAGTGGCAGACCTAGATGTTCCTGGCACTCGTCAGGCACATTATCAAGATTTCTAAAACCATACATATGTATTCAAGCAGAAATTCTTCAACGAGAAAGTGAAGATCTTCAGAAAGACTGAGCCTAAGAAGTGGCACTCGAACGTGAAGAGTATATGCGGCTCTTCTCGCAACGACTCCTCCTTTCCCCACATACCCGAGGTGGCAGGCTGCAAAGCTCCTGCTGCTGCCAGTACCATCAATTCTTTTCTTTCCAAGCCTTGCACCGCCCTTCCCCCGCTAGACAGAACCCTCCTCCCTGCAATGTGCCCATGTCCCCCACCTTCTCTCATCTCCCCGTCCGAGGTACACGAGGAACTGAAAAGGATTAAGTCTTGCTCTTCTCCCGGTCCAGACTCCATCCCATCCTGGATCTACAAGGAGTTTGCCTCAGAACTCACAATCCCTTTGACCGATATTTTCAACACATCTCTCATGACTGGGCAAGTTCCGGACCTGTGGAGGACCGCGACAGTCATCCCAATCCCAAAGAAACATCCACCCAAGTGTTTGAACGACCTTCGTCCCATCTCTCTGACTTGCC